GCAGATCTCGCTGCTGAGTGAGCCGTGCCCGGCCGGGCCGGGCCTGTGCCCCCGGGTGTCCGGACGAGCCTCTCGGCCGCAGATGGGCAGAGGTTACCTGGAGTGAGCCGTGCCTGATGCACTGCTGCGTGTCCCTAACAACCGGCACCTGCGGCTCTGATAAGTCCCGGCTGCCTGTTCCTGCAAGCCTAGCGAATTCCCTATGGAAACACAAGTGTCTGTGTACACTTGGCCCTGGGTGTGCCACAGAACCGTGTCGGTTTATTCTCTCTTCACTTCAAGGGTCAAGACTTCCTGTAAACTCCTGCCCTTAGTCTTTGATAGGAAAGATTAAAATTCTTGTTGAGTCTTGAGACAAAAGTAGCTGCACAAAGAAGTTAAAATTTGAGTTGGACGCTGTATTAACCAGAATTTGTTAATCCAGATTTAGAGTATGCATGTGTCAGAGATTACAGGGTGAAATGAATCAAAAGAAGGAAGAATTCCACTGAAACGAGTTCAGCAATAAAATCTCCCAGAACAGACCTGCTGAGGAGAAGTGTTACGACAGGCAGCTGCATCATGTTACACCCTTGCTCATACACGTCTGGTTTGTTCCTCTCAAATTTCAATACAACAGACTTGTGGAGAACTCTAGCATCTACTCGATCCTGAGTTTTTGAAACTGATATTACTTGTCAGGCTGTCATGAGCAGTTTGGTGTGGGCCGAGGTAGACTTCTCTGTTTAAAAGGGGGAGGCAGTAAATGCCCTGAGTGCTCCAGGCTGTGGCAGAGCAGCTGGAACGCTGTTGGGAGGGGCCCTGAGATGCGGCTGAGCATCAGCCCAGGTGGGCCAGAAGGCCAAAAGCGGTGTGCTGCTCCACCAGACTCCCACTTCTGGGGTCAGTTGCTTTGATTTTTTTTATTTATTAAAACTGTCAGGCCATAAAACTGCTTCCAGTTTGTGACCTGAACACCTGGGTGAAGGTGGAACTCACTGACCTGTCCTTGTGCCATTAAACAGGTGGAATGTGCTGTGTGCTTCCAAGGGACAGTGTTTATGGGCTGAGCAGTGAAAACATTATAACAATACATTGATTCTCATGCAAATGAAAATTAGCTAATTTTTTTATGCCCCAAAATATGATTACGTTGACAAAATTCATGGTTGGTGTAGGATTTTTACATCCTCATAGTTCTTTAAAATCTCTTTATTGCTGCCTAATGTTTCTGTTGTTCAGGTAATACCTTCTGATTTGGTTTTGGTTTGTAGTAAAGTTGAGTCCTGTGGATCTCATCAGATAAAGGTGTTTCTGTTTTGGAACATTTTCCACAATTCTTCATTTGCACAGCTTTTTAGAGTCTTTAAAAGGCATATGTCCTTGAATTTTCATTTCAATTTCATTATTCATTAATTAAAAAGTGTAAAATAATTGTCTCTTATTTTAGGAAGAAGTTTTCCCTTATCCAGAGATCAGCAATGAAGAACTGGCAGAGATCAACCAGTTTGTTGGACCTGTAGAAAAATTCTTCAGTGAAGAAGGTATAGTTAGTAGCTTGTTATTCATGCACGTGATTCAGTCATTTAGTAATTTAAGTGTAGTGGTTGAATAAGATTATTAAACTTAAAATATTTACATTATTTAGGCATGTACTGCTAGTCATATAGTGCTGCTGGTTCCACAGCATGTGCATTTATGGCTTTCTGTGTGGAGTATTGGGATGCTGATAAGAAGACATAAATCTCAAAAACAGGGTAAAAAAACCAGGAAAAAAACAGGAAGTAGAAGCATTCTGGGCTAGAGGTAGGATTTGAAATTGGTTTTATCTTAGCTGAATTGTGGTTTTTACCACTTCATATATCTTGTGATTTTTTTTTTTCTGAAACATTTTAATTGTCCTACTCTGCTAAAACTGGTTGTAGTAAAATTCAGCAGAGATAGTCATAAATGATGACTCATTGAGAAGCTGTGAAAAATAAGAAGCTTTTATGTTTTTTCAGCATTGGTGATTCTATGTGGGAAAAGCCTTATTAGCCATCTGCATTCCAGATAGGGTTGCAGGGTGTTTCTTCTATTC